AATTACCAGTACTGTTAATTTAGGGCAGCTGTGGCATAAACCTTACATTGTGCGTTGGTTTAGTAATTTTAAGCAATGTATGTTTTTTTGCCAATAAATGCATGAGTATGCAAAGCACCAGTTCACTGCTAGTAATAGATGATCATAAATAATAACAGTGATTGAGGAAAATGATGACATTCAAACTGAAATGGCTTGAAGAGGACATGACTGGCTATTCTTCAAAGCCTACTGGCCCCAGACTGCTCACTGTGACTGAGTTTCAAATCCCCCAAGGGGCACCCTGCCACCTCCAGCCCACATTAAAGCCGAGGAGACGGACCGAGACTGAGAACACACACTATGCATCTGAGTGTGTCTCTGCGTTTTGTTTTTTCCACAGGCCAACATATAATTATGTCATCTATTTATAGCTGTTATAATTATCGGTGCCATGCATCAGATGAATATAGCAAAAATAAAAATGATTTGAAAGTAACTTGTTCTGAAGTCCACTGCAATCTGCCCCAATGTTTAAACACTGGCTTTGCAATAACAATAAAATTCCTCCTGCTGTCAGACTTTACTGCACTGCATCAAGGTTGAGCTTTCATCTTTGGTTGGTTAGCTCCTCCTGCACTTGATTGCACTTCAGTGAAAACAGAACCCCCTTTTTTTGTTCCTTTTTAATGTTATTTTTGGAGTCTTTATTTTGGGAGTTGGTCTTCCAAAATTTGTGTTGCACCCCCTGCTGAGTACAACAACATCTCTGGAGGTTGCCGTTGAGCTTACGAAAGAAGCGCAACAATGCAGAGGAGGAGAACCAGAGAGTATAACGATTACACGGCTTTGCAGTTGCGTCTCAATATATCAATAATTACAAGGGACTGTACGATCAAGAAAAATAGCATTTTCATTACCACGTGCAGTAAGGTGTAAATAATCAGTTTATTTTGTGGCATCATGATGAAACTCATGCTGCTGTGAGTGTGGGCAATAATGTACCCTGAAATTGAGACTGAAATGGAGGAACTGTAGAGGGAGAGGAGGACTGGGAGACAGTCTAGCTTTAAAAGCACATTTCATCAAGTGAAGTGTGATGTCTGGACAGTGAGCTGAAAACTGAGGGAGTCTTTTATTACACAGTGCTCATATGGTCCATGGTTTTAACAGTCTATCTAAGCATGCAGCACATGAATTTCACATTGCAGTCTAAAAGACTCTTCACCCCCTCTAAGCTCAGCTCACTCGTGTGTAGCATGCATCAATGGATTTGTATTCGTGTACTTGTTTGTGTGTCTGTGTAGCACAACGTGAGCCTCTATAGATAGAAGAATAGAGGGAAAAAAACAGTGCAATCAAATACATTTTCCCCCATTTGTGCCTGGCTATAAAAGCTACTTTCTTTGTCCTTCTTGAATTCTTGTGTCCACTTTGTGGTTAGAAAACTCCCAGTATCTTTTATAATGAGAGATAAAATTCTGATGTCAGTTTGTAAACAACCTTCACTGACAGATAATCTGGTCATTTCCTGTCTTAGGCAGTCATGTAAAAAAATGAAAGTTTCCTATGAAGTCCAGTGAAACAACAAAGAACACCCCATGCCCTCATTATCTTGTTAAACCACCTTGAGCAGCAGTAACTGGAAGAAATCATTTTCTGTCTCTCACATGGTTGTGGAAGAATTTAGGCCAACTCTTCTTTACACCATTGTTTCAGTTCATCGAGGTTTGAAGGCACTCCTTTACGCACAGCTCTCTTAAGGTCCTGCCAGAGCTTTTCAATCAGGTTCAAGTCCAGACTTGAACAGGGCAAAGGCAAAAACATGATTATTTTATTTGCCAGCCATTCTGTTGCAGACTCTTGGCTGTGTTTGGGAGCATTGTGCTGTTGCACAACTCAATCTGGACCAAGCTTTAGGTGATGGGCAGATGGTCTCACATTTGACTCTAGAATACTTTAGTATACAGAGTTTATAATAAACTCAATGAGTGCAAGCTGCCCAAGTCCTTTTGCTGCAAAACAAATCCAAATGGCAACTGTCAAGTACCCCACCGTGCTTGACAGTTGGTATGAGGTGTTCACGCTGATATGCTGTGCTTGGTTTTTACTAAACATGGTACTGCACATTATGGCCAAACATCTCTGCTTTGATGTCGTCCGTCCAAAGGACATTGCTTCCAGATGTCTTGAAGTTTGTTCAGATGCAACTTTGCAAAGCTAAGCTGTGCTCCCATGTTGTTTTTAGATAGAAGAGGCTTTCTCCAGGTAACTATCCAAATAAGCCATATTTGTTCAGTCTTTTAACTAAACTATTTTTCTGTCATGCACTTTAACATTTAAGGTCTGTAGACTCACAGACAGTATCTCTTGTGTTGTTGTTTTTTTTCCCTGTAACGTCCACGCCTGGGAAAATTATGTAATTTTGTTAGCACATACCTGATCGCTCCATACAAGCAAAACTGCCAAAACTTCTGTTTTATCGAGCTGCTCACACTTGCTGATTATCAGTTAATCAAGTGCATCTGATTAACAGCACCTGGCTGCTGGTTACCCATTTAATTCCCATGGAGGCAGAAAGGGTGTGCTTAAGTTTTTCACAAGTCTACGCATGTAAGAGCACTCTGATATGCTTTTATGCACCCACATATCTTTTCAGTAGCAAATTACCTATAATAGAAGAGAATACGACATAAAGAAGTCTCGCCGTAGCATTTATAAATAGCACTTTACATACAGATTTTTGTACCTTTGCTTTCTGACCAAGAGGCAGTGCAGACTCCCAAATATTTCTCCTTAGTTTTACAAGTCATAGCTTCTTGTGTTTTTCAAGTTCTTTCTAACTCTGCACACCCTCTTGCACTGTATATACAGAAATAATTTTACACAGAGTACAACTTTCAAAGACTCCTCCACAAAACCACTTTATATTTCAAAGATGGAATAGGAGGTAAATTTGCTCCAGGTGAAGAAATGTAATGTATTATTTACCAAAATGAAGTCTTTCAAAATTGCTTCTTGTCCCTTTACTTCATGCAATCGGTTGAGGGAAGGGAGATGAAGAGGGAAGCAGTCGTGGGAGTTTGGGATGGGAAGTGAGGAAAAGAGTTATTCTCTGAAACATGACAGCCCTGGAGGCACGACGCACTGTACTGTGATGCGTTGACGGAATGACTACTCATAAAGACAGTCATGTCATGTGGATAAACAGCGGGCAGATGCATTATTCAGGACAAATATCCACAGGTGCACATGTAGAGTATGTACACAGACACAAAAGCAAGAAGAAGGGAGGGAGTGGGAGGTATAACAGCAATACAACTCAACAGCTCTCTCTAAATGTAAGGGTCTAACATAATGGATGTAAAGATTTACAGTACATGCCAGTACAAATCAAATTAAAGAAATATACATGATTTAACCAGCTAGAGATGGTTGTGGGTGGAAATGAGAGTAGATCAGCAGTTTCTGAAACATTGCGATGCTCCATGATGAATTCAGTAGGTTGTCTTGACCATATCTACATGTGTAAATGAGTTGCTGCCACGTTATTGGCCAATTAGATATTTGTATTATCAGTTAACTGAGCAAGTGTACCTAATAGAGTGTCTGATTTTTGTATATGTTTTGTTTTTTTTACTTTAGCTGTACAAAAAGCTTTACAAAATGTTTCTCGTCCCACAAATGTTGGCAAATCTGCTCTCCATGGCACTGGCCGTCCTTTGGTTGCAACTCAGTGTCTCGCTCAAGGACACTTCAGTATGCGGAGTGGCTGAGGACTGAACTGCTTGATTAGTGGACAGCCAAATGCCTTAAAACGTTCGCAAAGCAGTTCAGCTTGTACCACACAAAAGAGGAGGGTTTGTGGATACAAATCCAGCACCCGGGGAGATCTCACACGGATACTGGCTCTTTCTCTGGTTCATAAACTGTAGAATTACAATTAAATGAAGCTTATTTGACTATAAAAGCTCAAATGAACAACTAGATTCAATTACAAAAGCCAATCTGCAATTCATTAGCAGCAGGTTAGCTCCAGGTTTTGCTTCTCATCACAAATTGTGCTGCTGTGTGTTTCAATTTCCCATCAAAGGAGCTTTTGGACCTACTGTACAGCTGGACTGACGCAATCCTACAAGCCAGATCTCATCCTAAGATCCTCAGGCACACATTTAGCTCTTCTTTACTTACTGTATATTCTTTTACTGTTTTGTTTTTTGTTGTTTTTTTGCCCTTGATCAACATTTGTTTATGGTTTATCTTTTCCACTTAACAAAATTTGTCCATATTCATCATTTTATTAATTTTTATTGAAGTGTCATTTATCCTTGAAAATCAGGCTGTGTTCACTATTATGTACTTCCTATTATTATACCGAACACTTTGCTTTTAGTTGATTTGTAAGGATATCTTTCTTAGAGTTGCATCAAGCTGAAACCATGTACACCGCACAGACTTCTTTCACAGACTGTGGGAGTCAATTATACCACTGTGATCTGGGCCATAGATTACCCTTTAACAATATAAGTATCTAATTACCGCCTTGCATCCTTTACGCCTCTTCTGCGCTCTTTAATCATTATCACCCACTGGCCTTGATCGCAGTATACAGACTTTAAATCTTTCGATATGCGCGCCCATATATATATATATATATATATATATATATATATATATATATATATATATATATATATATATATGAGCACATATTTTACTATTATCTGTGTGGAGCACCTGTGCACTCCAGCTGTGCCAGTCACTAATGGAGGGCACGTTTGCACAAAGGCTGTGTGTGGATGGTGAGGAAGAAGAGGAGGGGGCTTCAGAATTCAAATGTGCTCCTTTTACAAAGAGCTGTTGTATTTTGAGAGAGAATACATGTGAGAGTCTAATTAAGTAAATTTGTGGGCACTGGCAGAACAAATGAAGAAGACATAGATGGGCAGATGGAGAGACAGGACGACAGGTCTTTCGCGCATCCCACTATCTGTATCACTCGACAAGGTGTTTGAACCAACCTGATGTCCAGACGCCGCAGCATGGGATCAGCAGCCGTACCAAGTACCCAGATGGTGAAGACAATCATCAGCAGGGTGGTGGTGAAGATGGTGTGACTCACTTCTTTAGCTGTGACTTTTACAGCCAGTCTAAAAGCCACAGCCCCCCTCAAACCTGAGGCAAGAGAAGACATTTCTGAGCAAACAGCTGGATTAATGCCTTCCATTAAACCACCAGATAACCATCTACCAACCAATTACACAGAAACTGAGCCAGTTAATAACTCTGTCAATGGGTAACAAATAACACCCTGACAGTCACTATCATTGACCACTTGCTGACCAGCAAATAGCCCTGAAACAAACTCCAAGATTGCTGTACAGTGGTGACATAATGCTTAAAGCCAAAACAATTCCCAGAGCAAATCCTTTTCTGCCATGAGAAAAAAAAGAAAGATGAGGGAGGTGATAGCGGCGACGGTGGGGGAGTTTTGAAAAACAGCAAAACAAGAGCTTTTTATAAAGAAACCTTACGTAAGACGTAAAGTGGGTCAGACAAGCAGAGAAACATGCTGCTGTGGCGCTACCCCACATCAAAGGTTCCCTTCCCCTGCATCATCAAATCACTCAGGGTGCCAACCGCTAGTCTCAGATACCTCAGATAAGTAAGACTAAGACTTCTATATATGCTTCCACTCACAGGTAACAAATAGATAAAAAGCTTCTTTAAAAAACATAAATCTCAAATTCAGACAGTATTGATTAATGCAAAAATTCTTCCTCCAACAAGGTGAATTATTCTAAACCCCGAGGTAGGTGCTGGTCTTTGTGTTCGCCTTAACTGACTTAATGCGCACACCAGCTCGCACTTGTTCCACAGAGGACACATTTTCTCAGCATCTCTACTCATGCCATTAGCTGCAGGCGAAGAGGAGAGTGGAATAATTAGAGCTTTCATGGGATAAATCAGGGTGAAAGTTTTCTTCTTGTCCCCCCCTTCTCTCGTAGCAAAAACAACAACTAGAATGAAAAGTGTACCTGCAAACATCATGAAGTGCTGGAACTTGCAAGGTATCTTGTTTGTGCGACCCAGGTTCAGCAGGAAAGATAAGGGGTAGATGTTGAATGCTCTTGAAATAAAGACGGACAGCTGTATGCATTGAATGCAGATTAAGGAGAACATTTATGAGACTTGCAGGTTTCACGGAAAGTTGATCATTCGGTCTTATACTGTCGAAAATCTGCCGGGGAATAAAAAAGTGCCGTAAATCACACTGGTTAACTGGATATCATTGATAAGTAATCAAATTTTTTGCTCAATTTTCTGCATCCAGAAATAAATAAATGCAACACTGTGAGGTCAGGCTATAGACGTCCACCTGTGAATAACACTAAATATTACGCATGTGCGCAAACACGCGAAGAAAAAAAATCTCTGGATATTTTCCGTTTGGGATGAAAACACGGCAACGTGGCACCATGCCGAGGCATGAAGCCAATCAGGCTGCGCCAGCTGTCTCTGCCCTCCACACATACTTTGATGTCTCACGTAGGATGAGACTGAATGCTAAGTGTCCTGGACAGAAGTTATCAAGATGATATCTGTACAATTACCAGGGAGATAGCTGCCATCCAGGATACACGTCACGTCATCGGTCATGCTTTTAGAAGAAGTTAGAAATACAGCCTCAGATCCTCTCATAGGTTTTTTTTTCCCTTTTTGATAGTCTGACGTAAGTTAAGGGTAAGCTGAGTGAACCAAAGTGAAGAGGGTTTGGAAAGCTCTTTGCTCTTAAAAAAGAAAAAAAAAGATCCTCTTTAAAATTTGTTGCATAAAAACTAATCTGTGCAGACAGGTAACCCTTCTTTGGTATCAGAAAGAGAAGGGATTTGAGTTTATCCTTAGTAAGTCTAAATATAACGGTATAAATAAAGGGACCAATATTTTAGGCAGGACACCTCGGCCTGACAGGGCTATTACTAAAACAGTACTCCCTCGCACCCTGCAGTCAATATTACATCTCACGCACCCTATGGATTTTCAAAAGCAATATCCTGCTCCCAAAAGCAGTCATTTTTCTTTATCAAAGGCCTCTGAGCTATTCGAATGGAGGTAATTAAGCACTTTCATCTCAGCCTCATTTCCAATAAAGCCCATCTCTATTGTCACTGGCAAAGGCTGCAAGCTACAGCGATTAAAATCTACAGCATAACCAAAGAGCGATTAACAGGGTGGAATCACTGGGGTTATTTCTTTTTCATAGACACTTTTAGAGCCGTAAAACTGGAAACCGACATCCACTTATTCATGTTTGTCCATCCGGTTGATCTTCCTGTATATGTAGATAGCTAGCCGGAGCTTTTTAAAACTCCGATTAAATTCCTGTGCACTTGTTCCCCACATTTCCTGACTTCCATCTAATGAAGGCGGATTGCCAAAAACACATTTTAAAGAAATCAGACCCAATGCTCAAATCATTTGTTTCTTTTCTTTCTTTCTTTTTTTGCTGGACATAAGAGTACTGGAATAAAGAATCTGCTCAGTCAACTATTTCTACGGCCCCTTTGACCCTATGGTAGAAGATGGATTGTAATAATAATTGCTGGCCATCTGGGCACTGGACTGTGAAAGAACAGCTCCTTGGAGTGCAGCCACTAGAGTCGCTCCTCCAGCATACACTATGGTCGTGCCAGCTCTCAGGAAAGGACAATTGTACAGCAAGCAGCCATCAGTCCATCACTGCCCAATCATTTCTCTCAGAAAGCAAAGCTGACGGATACAATAAAGCTTCTGAACACGAGACATCTGTTATGATAGTAAGATTTTTCTATTTATCATTAAAGAGCAGATCGTTTTTTGATAAGATGACTCGAATTCTATCGCCATTGTACTCTGGTCTACAGAGGCTGCTGCCAGGGGAGAAACATATGCATCTCCTGCCTGTGATAGATTTCTTCCTGTATCATATTTGACACTATATGCAAAATATTAAATCTAGACAGAAGCTATGATCGTTGGATGTCTCCGAGCATATTTTTTTCAAAACCTGGCATTTATTTTTGATATCAACTGTGATTTTTTTCTGCTAAACAGCATAAACATCTAGATGTCAAGACTAGCTGATTAATGTAACAGCTTTTTGGTCTAATTTTAAACACTGTAAAGTGACAGAAAAGTAAGAAAAATGGCAAATTCTCTCATTTTCGTTGCTATAAGATAAACGTGAGGCGGCACGGTGGTGTGATAGTTAGCACTGATGTCTTACACCAAGAAGATTCAAATCAGCCAGGCAGCTTAGGGCTCGTTTGTGTAGAGTTTGCATATTCTCCTTCCCACAGTCCAAACACATTCATGTTAATTGGTGATTCTAAACTGGCTGTAGGTGTGAATGGTTGTCTGTCTCTCTGCATTAGCCCTAAAACTTGTCCGGGGTGGGGCTGCTTGCTCTACGATAGCTGGAATATTTTTGCTGATTAATTTTGTGCTTCGTTATTCACATTCACAATATGATTCATATTTGAAATGCAACCAATCAATATTTTCTCATTTTTGTGCAAAAGACAGAACAGAAAGCGTAAATCTTTACATCGTGTTAAAGATGCAGAAAAAGCTAAAACAGCGTCATCTTCAATCCGCTAAATGAAAGAACGGTAAGATTATTTTAAACAGCAAAAAGATTTAAACAGTTTAATTACAGCGTTGCTAAAGAAAAACCAAACAAAAACATCAGTAACAATAAGAATCTGTAGAGATCTTGACTGCCGGAAACCAGCTGGATGACATTTGCAGAGCTCTCAAGATCACCGCCCCTCCCTCTCTCCCCCAAGGACTGGGGAAGTAACAGTATTGCAATGAGGTAGCAAGAAATACAACAGGATAACCAGTATGATCTACTAAATGACTTGTCATTAAACTAATAGGAGACAGAACTGAGTCCTATTCCTGAGATGGGAGTGGAATTCAGAAGCTGCACAACAGGGGGTAAAGTCCTCTGTCATACAGCAGAAAAGGATACAAGTGCCCCAGAAATGAAGTATGGTTCAAATTTATGGCAAGTGAACTTCAACAATATATATCCCATGTAGCCGAAGATGGAAATCTCCCCGAGGAAGTTGAAGACTTCAAAGAGCTGCAAATTATAAAAGGAATTGAGAGGATCATGAGAGAGATGTGTGTATGCTTGCTGTTAGGAACACATAAATCTATTTACAGAGTTTCATTCTGGGTATCTGCCTCCCCTTGAGGACAAATGGGCCAAACAAGCAGGGCACAAGTGAGTGTTTATGGTTAGGCCATATTAAGGTTAAGGTAGGGGTCAGAATCAGCCGAGCACTGAGTACACAATGAGTGACATCCTCTGAAAAAACAACTTTGTGTGCCAAAAGATGGCTGAAAGTGAAGTAGAGGAATGGATAAATAGCATTAGATCTGTACAAACACGACAAATCCAGTGTTTATGTTATTCCCTTTGAGGCGGCAGCTGCAAACATCTACAGCTCGAGGGCATAATGTGGTTTCCTGTAACAGCAGACATGTTCTTGTCATCATCTTTGTGTGAAATAATTTCATTTGAAGCGTACTGGGGATAAAACAGCACATCTTTAGGGACCCAAAAAGTCATATGCTAATGAACTCTGCTTTTTATTAGAAGATTATTACAACTCATCGACTCAGGCTCCAGCTTGTCATGTTCTAAGCCAAGCTGAGGAACTTTGGTGTCATATACTGTTCATGCAATGGCATTAAAGAGATGATACAATTTCATTAACCATGTTTTTTATTTCTTATATGATTTAGAGCTCTGGTTAAAAAAAAAGATATCCAGCTGAATAAGTGCACTTTTTGGGGATCATAGAAAGAAAAGTATCGGTCCCACTAGCTATTCAACTACTGCCTGTATACACTCAATCACATTTTACCATAAGCTGCATGTATAAACCCTAAAAAATACAGATAGAGGCATTCTGCCAAGTGAACATGCTCTCCTGCATAGCCAGTCCACTTTATAGGCAGAGGCTTCAACTGTGCTGCCTTTTAGGAGTGTCTGTGATAAACAGTTAGCTGCACTATGGTGCTGATAATGAATAATAAATGCACAAATAAGTATATGTGTGTACTTCTGATTTGTTTTGCTCCTCTATGAAGCTTGCTGGCAAAGTGTGACAGTGTGCTAGCCTCCATCTGTGCTCAGCCTTTTAAGTAGATAGCTGGAGACTGATGTCCCACACGGACGCCCGCTGGACAACTGAGCACTAATGGCAATTAATGAGCGCGAACTGCAAATGCTGGCGACAAGAGTCATTCTACACAAACGAGAAGACTAAAAATGACTGTCAAGCAAAAGGAAAACAAGTTTCAGTTGCGCTCCGTTAACCCACCTGCTTGATCCTTGCCCTGCCCTCAGAGGACAAGTTGAGAACTGTGTACCTTGCCTGACTCAAGCCGCAAAACATCACTGCCACAATACCTGAAAGATAAACAATACTTCTGAAATGAATGAAAATTCAAAAATGATATAGCCAGCCCCCCCCCCCCAAACATCCACAGCATCTTCTAAATGTGAACATTTACATTTTGTGGACAAAGCTCATAGATGAGAATCCTGTCAACAGCAGGGAGTTGATAATGCGCCGGATCTGATCAGCTGAAAGTATGCAAAACCACTTATATGTGCATATATTAGTAATCAGGATGAGAGAATCTGTATGTTTGGGAGCTGCTTAACACACAGAGGCTTGAGACTTGTCACGCTGAGAATATGGTGTAGGAGGTTCTACCATCACAGGAGGATCATTTCTGAAAAGAGCTTTTGTCTCCATGGTTCAATCCATGTTTTTTTGTTAACAAGCCAGAGATGCCGACATTCAGAAAAAAGTGGGGAGATGAGGACAAAGATAAATTAAATAAAAGCACTGTTAGAGTAATTCATGTAAGCACTGGTTTATAACATCCAAAAATTAAGCCCTCCTGTGTGCAGCCACTCATATAAAAATTAACCGGATCAGACCAGCCCAACCTTGCATCCACCCACTCTCCTGGTTCCAATAAAAATGTGCTGCCCAAACCAACTCAAGCATATTTATATATCTGATAAAAACATTTACTTGTCCAGATACATGAGGCTCTGGAAACGATTAAAAAAAAAGTTTTAAAAGTGATATAATCACAATCACAATGTCAGTTGCGTGGGAGGAGATACTAACAAAAAACAAATGCACGACAAGCAAAGTACAAAAGGGAAAGACGTACAGACAGCAGCCTCTGCTCCTAAGACAGAGGGTGGAGAGAGTGATTAGGCTCACAGGGGAGGCTGGTTGGACCAGAGAGCTAGAGTTTGAAGCACAAAGCATGAAAGGTGGGCTGCTGCCTCGCAGGACACGCTTGGTTCATTGCAGAAATTCGATTTCACATTTTAGCTTCCTTCGCATTGAGCGAATAACAGAAGGTGGAAAAATGTGAAACTGCTGCGATGGGTATAGCAATAGGTAGAAGACAGGGTTGGCTGTAATAAATATGGCAGCAGAGACAAAATAGCAGCTGTGGTTCAGACTGCTAAATTAAGCCAGTCCATTAGTCTCTCTTCACCATCCGCCTTTACATCGGGATGCTGACATGGACCTGCACTATGCTAGTTCCAGTAATGCTTGGTCAAAATATACCTCTTAGCATTGTGCAACGCCATCTAATGGAGCACGCCATCGTGGCAGATCTCATTTTGGTTCCATTTGGTTGGGGGCAACAACATCGTCCTTGGTTTACATAACACTGACAGAGATAACACATCACCTGTCTGCTGCATTAAGTCTCTTTCTAAGTCTTTTCCACACAGAGCACTTTGCAACAGATTAGATGCTTCTCATAATGAGCAGTTGTGAGGGGCATAAGATTAATGACAGCAGGGCTCCCTGCAAGGCTGAGGGTCATTAGACACACCCTCACTAAACTCTAGCAATTAACAGAGACAGAAAGAGCTTCGATTACCAAAGGACACCAGGGAGGACTCGCATCAGTCATTGCATTCTTTGGTATGATGTGCTGCCTCATCTCAAAGCGACCATTAAACGCCTTTACCGTTAATGCTGTATAGGGTATAGGGTACCATTCATCACCGAAACAGTAATTTTCACTACCTAGACAACAATATCAGCATTAAACTAGATTTTATAACAGTAAAGGTTTCAGGTCAAAACAAAGTATTAAAACCAGCCCAGGAAATGCATGTAGAAATATACTTCCACTAGAAAACTAGAGGCTCTGAGAATTACCGACTGAGGTTTTTCTGTGGTGCGACTCCCACACTGGGCAGCATTTAAAATGCGCTTTATAAACAGGGCATCTGGAATTTAATGGACAAAGGTCAAGCTTTTTCATTAAAACCATCTTCTCTGCCTCCACAGGCCACAGGGAGCAGTGCCAAGGAAGAGAGAGCATTAATACTAATGTGCGCTAATGTATACTCGACTTATATTTCAAAACAACATTACACCACATCAGTAAAGAAACAGAAGACAATTCTAGGCAGCAGAGTCGAGAAATGGTCTTTTCCAAACATGAGCTTGCAAAGATACGTCATTACTTTGACTTTCTTAAAGAGCAGCCACTCTGGGTAAGGATCTGTAAGTGGTGTCATCTCCAAACTAAAACTACAAGCGTTCTCAGGGAGAAGCAGCTATTTTAAAGTAAGAAGAATAGGACTGGTACTTCCAGTTGTCTGTGATGAGAAGATTCTTGGAACAATGCAAAACACTTTGTTGGTTAAAGAGTGCATCTGACTGAGAGATCACTGACTGTACAGGGAGTGTTGGTTGATTGACAAAAAAACCCAAAAAACTGAATCTTGTATGCAAGCAGGGAATTGTGCAGATGGTCATGACTGGACAGCAGTATGTGCGCACATTATTTCCAGGTTTTTGGAGTGTGAGTGGAAACAGAAAATGCCTTGAAGCCAGTCAAACAGATGCTGGGTGTCACTGATACTGTAGAGCAGTATGCGAGCCAGCGGGAGCAGTTGAGAAGAGACGCCTGAGGGGAGAAGGGCAGCTACCCAGAGCACTGACATGGCCACAGACACACAAACAACATAAGTCACACAGTGTTCACCTGATAGCCCGCAGGCTTCAGCCGAGAGGTAGCTGCTCCAGGACAGCAAGAAGAAGACTGACGTTTCCAGGAGGGGATTTTCATGCAGCCGAGTGAATTTGGTGAGGTGAAATGAAAGTTAAAGATACATAAGATAATCATGAAGTATTTAACACTTTGCATCAGGCCAGGGTTCATATTGCAAATGCAGGACAAATTTCCCACTGTTGCACAAGTGCATTCCAGTGCTACAGTCTGGAGAAACTGTGGTACGCTGCCTGCAAAAATAAAGCAACTGCAAATAGTGCTCAACAAGCCAGGGGATCGCCCATACAGAGTAAACGCGGGCAGTGAGCTCCACTGTCCCACATCCCCTCCGGCAAAGCTTGGGTGCAAACCATAGAGCAATATTTTACACGGTGTTCTGGGCAAAACAGTAGGCACTAGAATTTTCATATTTCTGACAGCCACATAGAAAGAAACGAAGGGTAAGTTTGGCTACTGGAAATATTACAAAGTTAGGCCTGAAGGGTATTTAATAGGCTGCGCTTAAAATACTCCTCGGGCATGCAATAATAAAAATACACCTTCTTAAGCCTGATTGTTTTTGTAATTAATAAGGACAGGTGTGGTTATTAATTAAAAGATAAATGAGCAACTACACATCAAGGTGAATTTCTTTAACAAATAGCAGACACAAGAGCAGGATGCTGCTATGGTTAGCATCAGCAAAATCTAATAAATGCTCACTTTGTGGTTTGCCTACACCCAGAGATTAGTCACTGTAAATAAGAGCTGAGTCCTGGCCCAAACCCCTCATGACACATTCCCATTTTTCATCCTAAAGTCTAATTACTTGAAGATCAGAGAGAAACGCTGGACGACGGCGCAAGTCGAAACTTCATCATAGGCTATTGGCTTGATTGACGACCTCTCTGTAGCCATTAATGTCGCAGGAGCACTTTAGACTTTAGCTGCATCGCTTTTGTTGGTAAAAGTGGTACAGTAGGGGTTTGTTAGAGAAGCAATTATAGTGTTGAGGAACAGGATATACTGCGGCGGATGCTGAGGTGATAATTGAGTCTGGGGTGTAGAGGCAGAGATGGGACGGGATGAAAAGGATATGAGGGCTGTTATTACTGTGAAAATGAGACCTAAGAGGAAGGAGCCAATGAGCACTATGAGAAAAAAAACAAAGGCGTGGAGAAAGGCAGTGGGGTTGAAGATGAGTTCTGCATTCATCTGGGTGTAGGTGGTGATGGCACTAGGAGAAACATGAAGCAAATGCAAACAGAGCCGTTATGGAACAAAAACAAGCCAGAGGCATAATTACAACAGAGACACTTTGATTGCTACAGATGCTGAGAATACAAATTAAAAAAAAAACAAAAACGTTTATGACTCTGCAATAAGAACAGTCATCAGAAATATGACCAACTGGGTTCTTAGTGGAAAACAATGAGCATAAATTTACATTCTTATTATGTTGAGCTAAGTGCTATTTACTGGAGTCATTCCTTTTTTAGATTACATGGTTTCCCTTAGAACTTCCATCTTTTCCCGAAAAAGAAAAAAATATATTAGGATTTTTTCTTTGTTTCAGAGACATCTCAGTGTAGTTAGTAAGAAACAAGTAAAAAAAAAAGAAAAAAAAAAAAGATGGCAGCATTATTCACACTGCTATAAATATTTACTTTGTGAGAGGAAGGGAGGCCTCCATATGGAAGTCATTGAGTGCAAAAGAGGCCTCACAGGGAGGACAGAGGGAGGAAGAAATTGTGTGCATGTCTGTGTGTGGTGGGATGGAGGGGGTGCCTGTGGTAATGCAAGCCCAGACAAGCGACCAAGAGAGTGGCTGATGAACCAGTCTGCCTTTGTGGAATGACACAGTCTCTTTAGCCGGCAAAGACCCTCCCATGTACTCCCCCGTGGACTTAGATTGTTTTAAATGAAACACAAACTATGGAATCAGCAAAAACGGTAGCAAAGTGGCACTTGTTTTGTTTCCCTGCATTTAATGGGACCCAGAGCTACTGCTCACAGTAAAGAAACAAACACACCGCACACAGCATCTGGTAGCCACTCATATATACTGTAAGTATAAGATGTCTTATACTCCTACTAACATTAAAATTGTTTTGTTTCTGCAATTTCAGTACCATCAGGCTGGAATGAGCAAGCACACATCACAACAGGCCCTAATCTCTATAGCGGGAGGGGAAGAATCAGTCAAGCTATGGTAATGAGCTCAGCATGCTGAAAAGGGGAAATCTATTACCCCCCTCTCCTCCCTGAAAAGAAAGACTCCTGTGGTGCATTTGCCCACTAGTCAGTGATCAGAGTGACCTTCTGGAGACTGTAACTTCAGATGGTTTGGGCTGTAATCCCAGTTGAGATCCCAAGATGTTAAAGCAGGACCTGGCTGAATGGTGGCTGGGTCAGGGCTGCTGCAGCAGGACGTTTTGCGACTGTGAGATGGCACATCAGCGTAAGGTTGAGCTGCTCTGGGAGCTTGTTAAAATTCTAGTGCCAGGACCCTGCCTGGCTCACTAATAAGGGCCAGCTTTGTGCATGGGGCCAGGGCGACCGGCAGGCGAGTGACCAAGTCGAGTGAAAGGAGATGGCATGTAGGCTGGTCACGCCACTCTAAGAACAAACAGAACACTATCTGACTCTTTGTCTGGGAAGAATTGCAGGCTCCCTCCTCCACCGTACAATGTACACAATGCAACAATTTGCGCTCCCCTTCTAGGAATTGGCAAGCATATTTATTCAATTGGAAAGCGAGATGTCAGAATGTCAGGTTCTATATATTTGCATCAGTCTTTTTAAAGATAATAAGCACAGATGTTATCTCTCCTCCTGCTTTATTTGTGTGTCTGCCTGCTTGTCTGTGACTGTGGAGATGTGAGTTTTCGCCCCTCTCTGTCTCCGGCTTGCCATCTGCTTTCACATCTACACGACTAGCTCTGCTCACTAGCATTGTGTAAACAGAGCAGACAATGACAGCAATGTGCGAGGACAGAAGCATGCATAGTTTTGTAAAAAGCTGGAGAAAAGGGGAAAGAATTAAGCAAATGAAATGCATGGAGAATGCATGACTGCATCCTGGCTGCTCTGAGTTTCCAAGAATTTTGTGTTGTATTCTTCCAAAGTCAACATTAGCTATGATAACCAAGTTCGCAGCATGGGACTGTCTCTTTACTCTGGCATTAAGGACCTAAATGAGATGCTGATAGTGCTTGGGGCAACTCACTTATGCAGTTCGCTGCATAGTATTTAAGGGATTGTTGCTGTTTTCCTTAAAGCTGGCAGCACCCACTCAGGCTTCCTTCCTCCACATCCGCCCCCATAATGCCATTTGGAGAAGTCTGAGCACCCACGCAATTAAACCTTGAAATAGATTGCATTCTCAGGGCTTGGAGAAATACTAAAGCAAAATACTCACTGTGTCAGGACGATGGCAACGGCATCATTCAGGACACTCTCGCCAAACAGCAGCATGTGCAGATCCAAGTCCACACGCAGATCTGATAACAGGCCAAGGACTGAGACTTTAAAAAAGAAAGAAAAACAAAACAGGAGAAGTGTTGCTATTAATGGCCGCAGGAAGTAGAGCAACTTGAAGAGAAAAAGAAAAACTACACAGCAGAAGTGTCCTCCAGTATCTCCTGTGCTATTACAAAGAAGAGAAAGTACAAGAATTAATAAGTAAGCTGACAAAAAACTACAGTATGACGACAGCAGCGGGATAAAGATTTTGACAACTGGGCAAACTAAGCAAAGATTTGTTCAAGCTAAACAGGATGTAGAAATTACACAATGACTTGGGAAAGATAATATCTATGTTTGTTAATGATACATGAACAAATTAAGCGCATTGCTCATCATAATCTTTTTTCCCCACTGTAACAACTGGAAATTGGAGTATGAAAGAAAAATGCAAAGTTTAACATAAGTGGAACGTTACATTTCTTTGTTTTTTAGGATCCAAGCATTGAGTGATGTGAGGCTTTTGGAGTGCTACACATGTTTGAAAACTCATGAAACTTTACATTATGTGAGTGGGCCTTAGCAAGAGAAAGACCCTTTAAAGTGTAAGTAACCAACATGCGATATTTCTTATCTACATGCATGAAATTATGCAGCCACTTTTAATATTCAATGAAATAAAAACAGATTCTTAGATACATGCGTAAACCCAATAGGAAGCCTACCATTTTTAGTTTCCCCCTTTCCATAGACTCTACTCTACCCAGCTGCCCACCAAGAATGAAATTATCAGTTTTTACGATGTATCCTGTGATGATAAAGGTTAAGCCTTTTGAGTTGTAACCGAATAGTGTGTCATTTTCATGGTCCAATGATGAGTTTGGATGTTTTGCTACAAATTATAAAGTTGTTGTATCTCCAATATAAATACTTCAATCTGCCTTAAACTTCCTATTCTGTTTAATAGTCTCAAACATGACAAGCATTGCTTTTACATTACATTGAAATGGGCAATCTGCATATAGTAATGGTCTAAATCAACATGACATACAGTTACTTGGTGTTCTCTAATGCTACATCATGGACACAATGCATATTGTTTTACAAAAAGAAAAAGTAAATTATTTAATTATTATAATTTTATCATAGTTTTTGGCCTATATTGTGTCACTGGATCAATCACCTATACATTACAGTTATGGGAAAATGTAGACTGTCTTTCAATTCTAAGGTTTTATGTAACTGAACATAACAAATATAATCTGGTCTTCCCAGGACTTAAAGTTTATGGCAGTACAAGTAGAAAAATATTGAACTGAAACATGAAGCATGGCGTGTTTGGAAGGCTTGTAATGTGACAGCACGGCTTACGTTTGCAAAGTTGCATCTGGACAAACCACAAAACATCTGCAACGATAACCTTTGGACAGCTGAGACCAAAGTAAAGACATATTGTACAACAGTGGTCACCAACCTTTTCTGCGCCACGGACCGGTTTAATATCAGACAACATTTTCATGGACCGGCCTTTAAGGTGTCTTAGATAAAGACAAAAAAATAAAATGATACCACCAAGACGAAAACAGTGGTATTTTTTCACTGTGTAATTGTGTAACTTTATTAGCAGCGTCCTCCTGAAATGCACCAACAACATTGAGAGTAACATCCTCCTCTCTGCCCCTTAATGCTCTCTGGTTGCTATGGTAACTTGTAAATATTTCTTTCAAAATAAGGCTCACAACTACAACACGGGGGGAAAAAAACACCCAGGGAAACAGAGTTAACGATAAAAACCCTGAAAACCATAAATTTCATACCGACCTCAACTCTCACGGCTGTACCAACGACTCACAGACCAGAACCGGTCCGTGGCCCGGGCATTGGGGACTGCTGTTGTACAGTCCCACGTTTGTTGACAACAAAACACAACACATCGGCATCAACACCATACTCTACCAACTCTCAAGCACAGCAATAACCAGTATTTAAGTTATTGCTTGTAAAGTTGGTTCTTTAAACTATTGAGTCATCAGGCATAGTTTAATAATCTGATTCTACATGTTGACTTAGTGTTTGTTAAATGAACAATGGATGATACAATACAATACAGTTTTATTTATATAGCACATTTAAAAACCTGAAGGCAGACCAAAGTGCTTCACAGTAATTAGGGGAGAAAGAACATTCAAGTCAATAACAGGGTACAGATCAGGCACTAGCACAGACAGAATGGAGGCACCAATAGACCAGAAGAGTTAAATAAAATTGGTATCAAACCCCAATACAGAAAGAAGGAAGGTCAGATCGTGAATACAAAATATCTACTAAGAAGATAAAAACAGCAGTAAAATTAATAATAAAACAATACATTTAATATAAAGTTTAAAAAGGGTATTAACTGGTCAGGAAAGCCAGGTCAAATAAGAATGCTTTCAATCTTGATTAAAAGGATTGGATAGAGTCCAAGGCACGAATAGAAGCAGGGAGGCTGTTCCAAAGGTTGGGTGCAGCTGAAGCAAAGGCACGATCACCTCTGGTCTTCAGTCTAAACTTAGGTTGGGCCAGGAGTAATTGATCTGATGATCTTAATGCACGACAAGGAGTGTACAAATTGAGGAGGTCGGTGAGGTAACTGGATGCAATATTATTCAGGATTTTAAAAGTGAGTAGCAAAATTTTAAACTCAATGCGATATTTGATAGGTAACCGGTGTAGATCAACAAGAGCTGGAGTAATAGGATCAGATTTTCTGGCTCCAGTAAGAAGGCGAGCCACAGCATTCTGAAGCTGCAGCCTTCGATGAGAGAAGGCTTGGAGACCACAGTAGAGAGAATTGCAATAGTCTAACCAGGAGGTCACAAAAGTGTGGATAAGTTTTTCCAGGTCCCTGTGTGGTATATAATGCTTAGCTTTAGAAATCCGGCGCAATTGAAAGAAGCCAGATTTAACTACAGATGACACTTGGTCAAAGGAGCTTGCAAAGAAAGGCGTCCGGACTTCTTTAAGTTGCTTGAAGACGTTTCACCTCTCATCCGAGAAGCTTCTTCAGTTCTAAGGTCAAATTGGGGAGTCCCAGATTTAACCTAGTGGGAGTGACCCCCCACAGAGGACAAAAGGACCCTGATGATCCTCTAATCGCCTGAGCCAGGTGTGAAACTGGGTGTGGGTCCCAATCAGCCAGAGTTTCGGGTGTGTTCATTGTGAAATCTGGCCCACCTTATCATGCAATTCCTGAGGTCAGATGGCCAGTGTGAGTGGCGTTAAGCGTCGGAAGGGAACTCAAAACTGGATTATAGATGCAGAGAGTTGGTGTCGTAAACCACCGCCTCTGTTCAAGATGGTCCTCACAGTGACATAGATGGCTCTTTCATCCTCTTTCAAACATCTGTCCTCTCTGTCCAAATGTGACATTGGATCCTCGAAAAGGTGTCCCTTTATCCTTAAGATGCAGATGGACTGCTGAGTTTGTCCTGTGGCGTGGCTCTTCTGTTGGCTCAGGCGATTAGAGGATCATCAGGGGTCCTTTTGTCCCTCTGTGGGGGGTTACTCCCACTAGTTTATATCTGGACTCTCCACCATTTGACCTTAGAACTGAAGAAGCTTCTCGGATGAGAGTGAAACGTCTCAAGTAACTTAAAGGAGTCCAGACGCCTTTCTTTGCAAGCTCCTTTGACTACGATGACTGAGAACCTTCACAGCCATACAGATGACACTTGCTTATCGAGCTTAAAGGAGCTGTCCAAGTAGACACCCAGGTTACGTATAGAATCAGAGAGAGAGTTAGCAGCAGGGCAACAAGCTGGTCGAACACCATAACTTCAGTTTTTTTCTCATTTAAAATGAGAGAATTATCTGACAGCCAATCTTTGACCTCTCTCAGGCAATCGAAAGGAGTGCATGATGCTACAGATCATCAGTCAGTTACAATAAATTTAAGTCATCGCGTAAAAGTATAGAAATATGTATTTTTCAAATATGCAGCCCAAGGGTAGCATATACAAAGAGAATATTAAAGGGCCCAATGGCAAATTAGTATCAGCACAAACCAAATAAACAAATAGTTTTACAAAAATTACATTCATTTATGCCAAAGTTTAAAATCTCAAACATGAAAATCATGTTTAAATTTGAAATCCACTTACAATATAATTAAAACAAAGTCCAGAACCGTGTCTGTGTGTTTCATGGGCCACATTTCCTGTGTTTAAAAGACATAATATACAACATTGCTGGTTTGCTGGGAGGAGTAGTGAGAGTAGACATATGAAAGACTGAATTTCTTGACATGATTCAGATACACTTAGCCACTCACAGTTACCAGCTGCTACAATTACTTGTATCCTTTTTTTTTAGAGCTGCAGGTGTTGCTGTTTCATATCATACTCATTTTCAGTGACCGTGAATATACATCGACATACACTCTTTAGCTTGAGGCATTAATACAGTTTTCACTACAGAGAGCGATAACAACTAGGTTACTGGGAATCAGAGGAAGCTGGCTGTGAAAAAAGATAAGATTGTGTGGTGCTTTAAATAAAAGATTAACTCACTGCTAGAAAAAACTGCTACCTGAATATACTGTTTATACTGACCCTGCTGGCAGCTTTGAGCTTGTCTGTCCCTCCCTGAACTTTATTCCGGTTGAAGAGCTTTTGAGCATCTCAACAGGAACCAGACAACTTCAGATCTTTTTCATTTTGAGCTCACAGGTTGACTGATTACTACGCTTCGGTACACTGTGCTTAATTCCCCAATGCGCAGTGTACTTACAGGTTGCAGTGGAGATTTTCCTGCATTTAAATGGATATGTTGAGCATTGAATTATAACTTGTGATGCAAGCTTGGAGCATGTTGAATGTTTAATGTTGAATGCATAGCTCCAACTGGCAGTTGTGGTAAGGGGAAAAAGGGGGAGGATGGGGGGCAGGTTTTACATTAAAGTAGTTATGAAATAAGTAAGACTTGAAGTAAAAGAAGGAAATTTTTGGAGGACAAGTACCGACTCATCTGTCAGACTAAAATGAAAGATTTGCCACAATTATGGGATAAACTCCCATAAATG